AAAATATGTTAAACATTATACTGAAAGTAAAACATCATTGCCCGGGTCTAACCACGAGGAGGTAACCGCTTCCGAAGACCCAAATTTGAATAAATATTCATTAAATTTGATTTGCCAGTAGTACGAATCGATTCTAACTCGTCGAAGTCTAACAGATAACTAATTAAAAAACAGTATAAGTAWTAGGAACAATTTACGTTTACGAAACAAAGTAAGTAAAGAGACAGTCATGTAGCAAAATCATAAATTAATAATGTATCCAAATTGTTTTCTATTCGAAGTACTTTAATAGGTATGTAGTGTTTAAAACAATGTATATGCGTTGAAACTAATCTTAAATATAAGTAAAGTGTACTAGAATATTAAAATAATTGTTAATTAATCGATAGAAATGTATAGTGTAACGTAAAATTGAGGATATACCTGTTGATGCACCTTCCTCTTCGAAATCTTCTGTTAGACTGAGACGTTGTCACATAAAAAAGTTTTTTCTATGAAAAGTTGTTTATATGGCCTTTGAAGAGTTGCGCATGTTTGTATAACGAAAATTTTAATTGAATTAAATAGAAATTAAGATTATAACGTTCTGATTTTCCTTTTTTTAATTTTTATGTAATTGTTTAAATAAATGTAAATTTGTTTTAACGTTTCTGTGCAGTGCTAACTTTGGAGGGGGAAGTTTTCATCGAAAAGATTATCACATCGAAATCATTTAATATTTAAACAATGTTAATAAGTATGTAATGCTTATACTAGTACATATATGTTTAAACAATCTGAAATATAAAAAGAGTGTATTAAAATATTAAAATAATTGTTAATTAGTGAATAAAAATATCTATTTCTGTTAAAAACGCTCGTTGACTATGATATATGCACCGTCCTCTTCGAAATCCATCGGTGAAATGAGCCTTTGTTATTTATGCAATTACTTTTATTGAAAGTTGTTTATATGACTTTCCGAACATTGCGCATGTATAAAAAAGGAAAATTCATCTAATCAATTTAATTTAAGATTACAACGATCTGATTTTAGCATTTCTTCGTTTTTATGTAATTGTTTAAACTAACGTACATTTGTTTTAACGTTCCTGTGCAGTGGTGACTTCGAAGGGGGAAATTTTCATCCACAAGAATATCACATCGGAATCATTTAATATTTAAAGTATGTTAATAAGTATGTAATGTTTAAAACAATGAATATCTGTTTAAAAAATCTAAAATATTATTATCGTTTAATTAATAAATATTATAATACTCTAACTCAACTAATATTTTAGATTTTTTAAACACATATGTATTGCTTTAAACATTACATTTCAGTTAGCGTACTTTAAATAAAATATAATTTTAATATATTTTTATTTTATGTATTTATTTTTTAGAAATAATGAAATATTTACCATCATTTCTTTCTTTTTCTGTTTTTTTTAAAGACGTTTTTCGTAAATGAAACATAA